CCCATCCCCGTTATCTCCATTTATTTCTTAAGTACCTTCCCTAAGGAATTATCCTAAGGGTCATCTCCTACATCGTATTTAACTCTCATCTCCTTACATCACATTTCCTTGTATGTTTTTTCCTAAGGATCATCGCATGAATACGTAGTCACAACATCGCCTGGACTAGTAAGTCATAATAAGGGTTAGACTATCATCGCATGAATACATAGCCACAACATCTCCTGGACTCGTAATTCATAGTAAGGGTTAGTCTATCATCGCATGAATACGTAGCCACAACATCGACTGGACTCGTAATTCATAGTAAGGGTTAGAGTATCATCGCATGAATACGTAGCCACAACATCGCCTAGACTCGTAATTCATCACCTACATGTTATGAGCCCGCTAGTGTTTCCACGGGGTCATCTAGAATAGTCCGTGGTCGCCATCTATACTCTGGTAGATGACTACATCGTCAAATTGCCACCTCGTCGGTCAAGGTTATGGTATCTCCTCTCATCTCACATCACCTATTTATCATCACCTATTTCTCATCACCTTCCTATCATCACCTAATTATCATCACCTATTTCTCATCACCTAGTTATCATCACACATCATCTAATTTATCTAACTATGTTCTACCCAACATATTTGTAGATATAAAATACATATACATATTAACTCATTTAATACCTATATAAAACATCCATTCCAGACTCATCTCAAATAAACAACAATATATAAACACATAACACGTATTTCATAGCAAATACTTAATATATATATATATATATATATATATATATATATATATATATATATATATATGTTTGAAGAAAGTGATCACATACTCACACGTATAAACAACAATATATATACACATGACACGTATTTCGTATAAAATACTTCATAATTATGCGTTAGAAGAAAGTAACTACACACTCACCCAAACATATACTTAATACATTCAAACAATACTTGTATTATACCCGTGTTTATGAAAGGGACTATACACACACACATATAAACAACTTTATATTATACACATAGCATGTATTTTATATCAAATACTTAATATTTATGTGTTAGAAGAAAGTAACTACACACTCACACATATAAACCACAATATATATACACATAACACGTATTTCGTATAAAATACTTCATAATTATGCATTAGAAGAAAGTAACTACACACTTACACATATAAACCACAATATATATACACATAACACGTATTTCGTATAAAATACTTCATAATCATGCGTTAGCAGAAAGTAACTACACACTCACACATATAAACCACAATATATATACACATAACACGTATTTCGTATAAAATACTTCATAATTATACGTTAGAAGAAAGTAACTACACACTCAACTGATCAGAAGATGATCGGACAGCACTACGGCTTGTAGAAGTAGTATTCTTCGGTAGATCTGGAAGATCTTCACAAAAACCGGACTCCTCGCGGGCAGAGATTTGGCTCGGGAAGTGCACTTCTTGGGATCTTCGGGGCCTCGGGATCTGCTTCGGGGCTCGAGAATGATACCGGGGCTTCGGGATATTTCTTGCACGAAAAACGATGCAAAAACGCGAGAAAACGGGAAGAAATGAGCAACTGAATCGGCTGCACTCGACTTCCTTTTATAGGGGGCTGAAGCCCGATTTACGCGGGACGTAAATTTAATTACGCAGGGCGTAACGACGATAAGGTCGCCGACTCCCCCTATGGATAATATCGGCCAATTTTTATTTAAATTAAATATCGAAATTATTAAATAAACTTCAAAAATTCATATCTTCCTCATACGAACTCCGTTTTTAACATTCTTTATATCCACACGTAGGTGACACTACGATCTACAACTTTTATTTAGACTCCGTTGGCTAATTTTGAATTTATTTTTATTATTTATTTTTAGTAGGCCGGGACAGGAAAACTCCGTTATAAAATCATAACTTCTTCATCCGACGTCCGCTTTCGCCTATCTTTTTATCGTTTTACTACAATTAATGAGATTTTCAATTCTCATTTAGATTGTTTCGGCTAAAAACCGCTCGGTCTCAAATCGAGCATTCGGGTTGCGTACTGCTAAGTCAAAACTTCGAAAAATCATAACTTCCTCATACGAAGTCAGATTTGGGCGTTCTTTTTATGCACACTCATGGTTTAACGTATTCTACGACTTTCATTTAGATTGCTAAGACTAAATATTGCTCTAACGTAAATTCACTTTTTACATCGCGCTGTGTCGTGCCGGTTCTGTCGCGAAACTTCGACAGGTCATAACTTCTTCGTTATAACTCGGATTTCGACGTTCTTTATATGTACGGAATCCTTGTAACATATACTACAACTTAGTTAAGATTATTCATTATGAATAATCTTTCATCAAAAATTCATTTTTGACGCCTATCGTCTCTAAATTGACTAGCCCTGATCTACGGGCGTTACAGTGAAGCAGATCTGACCTCAAGAGATCTTTTGAGAGTTTTAATGGGAGGAAGTTGTCGAGCCCATAAGGGACTCGACGAGTCGAGTCGGGTTGCCCCACGGCTCGCGATCTCTGACGACCCATGGAGTATTAAGGTTGACTCAGCGAGTCAAGTCAAGACCAGGGGTGAAGAGGACATGCATGTACCCGCCGAGTCACTCTAGTGCGCTCGGCGAGTCCCATCAATGTTGACTGTTGACTTTTAAGGTTTAGTCAGTATTTGGACTTATGAGCCATTAGAGGGGTAGAATGGTCTTTCACCCTTCTTAGAGAACTTATAGAGAGGGGTTGGTCTAGCCTTTAGAAGTTGTATTAATTAGAGAAATTATTTTTTTGATTAGGCGGAGGCTAGCGCAGTATTTCAGAGTATGAGATTTACCGAGTATCCAAGGTGAGTCTTCTCACTATACTTTACCTTAAGTAGGTAACCAAAGTTATGTGATAGATTATCTTGTATGTTATCTATGTGATGTGTTGCACTGCATTATTTCTATGTGATTATGCCGTGTGTATATCAGAGTATATCAGAGTTAGAACCGGAAGGTTCGTAGAGTTAGGACCAGAAGGTCCACAGAATTAGGGCCCAAGGGACCATAGAGTTATAGCCTCGAGTGGCTAGTATGTGTTATGTGTGGTATTTTGGAGAACTCACTAAGCTTCGTGCTTACCGTATTATGTGTTATGTGTTTCAGGTTTTCTTAGAATCACGGGACGACACCGACTCGATTGTACACACCAGAGGAAGAGTTATGTTTTGAGGATCCTGGTTTATTATGCAATTGAATATGGAGTTATGTTTTGTAAATTAAACAGAAATGAGATTTCTACAAAAAGTGTTTTAACAATTAAACGATTATTTTAAATGAAAAAATGTTTTGAAAATTTACGGTGTTACACTTTAAGGTGTATTCTCTTGAAGAGGTGTGTGGAGCATAGACACGTTCCAAAGCCAACCATAATTCCTGAGAGGTTGTTCCTTAAACATGTTGAAAAGCAATTTGGTTTTGCTAAAGGTTAGTGTTCTTGATCTCTCTTATAGTTGTTCTTATTATTTAGGTTAAATATCCTTGTAGGTTTTACTTATTTTCTTGCCTTGCATGTTTGCGATGCCATTATTAATCTAAGTAAGTATATAGAAACCTATCATCAACATTAGATGTTTATTGCTCAAAAATTGTACTTTCCTAATCCCGAATGCCTACAAAAGTTTTTTTTTTCTCACCATTTGGTGATGTTTGTTGGATAAAATGGTATATGAATAAATGATGTCTTATCAACATGTGCATGTTAGGAAATTGATGTGTAGAATTATACATGTAATGATAGAGAGAGCAATTGAAGATTCATAGAATGATAAATGTTATATGGGAGCCTTTTGCTTTTTATAGTTGCATTGTAGATTATGCATAAATTATGTCCATGTGATTGTGTGGTAGACACACAATCATAAAGCCATGACATGACTCATTTTAGTAAGTTATATAAGTCTTTTTTTTTTTAATTATTATTATTAAATTCAAAATAACAACGTAATAAATAAATAAATTCAGGAAAGGGAGGCTTTCCATATTAGGTTCTAAATTTCTACTAATTTGTTTTCATTTATTTTTTACTTCCAGTTCTCATGCAAAAATAAAAAAATATCAAAACGATCAAATTTAACCATTATTTTCATCATTTATCCAGATAAAATTTAATAGAAAAGAAAGAAAAGGGCACAAGTCTTTTTATATATGGTTAATTTGTGCCTTTTCATTCTTTCAAACATAAAAAAAAATAAAAAAAATAAAAAAATAAAAAAATACAACACATGGTTTGTTACTTAAGATCAAAGCCATCTCAACGAGAAGGTTAGTATTGATTGAGAAGGAAGAAACCAGTAATCCATTTAGGAGGGACTTGCGTTTTCTAATAAGTATTACTTATTTTGATTAACAAAGAATTGTGAATTGTTTATCATCTTGTGGACCAAATCAAGCTAACTTCTTGTTGTTGTCTTCTTTCTCAAACTATTTTGGATTGGTTTGTGGTGATCATGTCTAAAAAGAAACTAAAATAAAGACTTTGTATTAGAAACCCATATTAGGTGACACATTTTGGTTTGGTGTGAACAAATCAGCTGACTATTATGATTAACTTATTATATTGTCATTCTTGGTAGAAAATATAAAAATTTAATGATGTACTTCATAAAGTACGCTTGTAATACGATAAACAATACAAGTAAGTCATTATTTTATGCATTTAATCCATGATTAAATTAGCCCAAATTAAAAAAAAATAATAAAATAAAATAAAAAAAAAAAAAAATCTTGAAGATGTCGTTTTGATTTTGTTTAACTTTAGGATTTAATTGAATTTGTTTGAACTTAATACGTCAATCTCTTGAAAAACTTCTACAATGATTAAACTTATGAGTATCTAGCGACAATTTATTTCTTAAAATGTACTCTATATTGCCTTTTTGTGAAGCATTTCTATTTTCTTGAGTTGGAAGTTATTGTTTAATACAAAATTCCACGTTATGGTTTAATACAACTTTTCACGGAAATTCCTCATTTCCTCGTCAAGTCTTCCATATAAAAACGACAGCGTATCATCGCAATCTAAACCTTCCCCGCCTTTGAGCCTTGTAATAACATCAAGACAGCAATTTCTTCCTCCTCCCATCGCCAGTCGCCACCGCACCACCACCTTCTCATCGGGTATTTCCTCTCTTTGATACTCGAGTATCTACAGGCTTCCACTCTGTAACTTTCGATCAATTCATCGCAAGAAGATCCCAGACATGGTGGATAACAAGCGGAAACGAGGACGTACGCCTAAATCTCGAGTACCCGAAACCCTAGATCTCCAAACCTCCAAAGCGACTTCCTCTTCGCCCTCCGTCGACGACGTTGATCTCACCCACAACAATGACACCTCCAATTCCAATTCCAATCACCATCACCACCTCCGCCGCCGTCGGGAACCCATGGAAAACCCTAAACCCCCCTTAATTTCATCTCCCCCTTCGAGGTGTATTGAGGGCAATGGAAATGTTACTGGGAATGGTTCGCTTCTTGATAGTGTGGTCATGGCGATGGCTAGGGTGATGCCGGCTATGGACGCGGTGGTGAAGGTGTTTTGCACGCATACTGAGCCCAATTTCTCTCTGCCGTGGCAGAGGAAGAGGCAGTATAGCTCTAGCAGTAGTGGCTTTGTGATTAGTGGGAGGAGGGTCTTGACTAATGCGCACTCGGTGGAGCATTATACTCAAGTGAAGCTCAAGAAACGTGGCTCCGATACGAAATATGTCGCCACCGTTCTTGCAGTAGGAACCGAATGTGATATTGGTAAGTGTAAATTTTTCTCATTTTTGCTAAGGAGCCATACTCATTTCCAGCTAATAGCTACGTATGATACCTGCAAAGGGAACTTTCATTTTCAGTCATGACATTGTTTAATGTTTATCCAATGATGCAGCTTTGCTTACTGTGGATGATGATGAATTTTGGCTCGATGTATCACCTGTGGAGTTTGGGGATTTGCCTGCTCTTCAAGATGCGGTTACAGTGGTGGGGTATCCAATCGGAGGTGATACAATATCCGTCACTAGTGGAGTTGTTTCACGTATAGAGATCTTATCTTATGTTCATGGGTCAACTGAGCTTTTGGGATTACAGGTCATTGAACTTTCTCTATAGTCTATTCTTAAACCATGTTTAACATTCATGTTCATTCACTAACCCAAATTGCTCTTCAACCTTTTGCAGATAGATGCTGCAATTAACTCAGGGAACTCTGGTGGACCTGCCTTCAATGACAAGGGAAATTGTGTTGGAATTGCATTTCAATCTCTTAAACACGAAGATGCTGAAAACATTGGATATGTCATACCAACCCCTGTCATAATGCACTTCATCCAAGATTATGAGAAAAATGGATCATATACTGGATTCCCAATTCTTGGTGTTGAGTGGCAAAAGATGGAAAACCCTGATTTGCGTAAGTCTATGGGGATGAAAGATAATCAGAAAGGTGTCCGAATTCGAAGAATTGACCCTACTGCCCCTGAGCATAAAGTTCTAAAACCATCTGACATTATACTAAGCTTTGATGGTGTTGGTATTGCCAATGATGGAACAGGTAACAATATATTAATATTATATTATAAATTTTTTGATCAAATGTTCAGTTTCATGACTTTTTTTTTTTTTTTTTGTTGAATCTTTACTCAGTTCCTTTTAGGCATGGAGAGAGGATAGGTTTTAGCTACCTTGTATCCCATAAATACACAGGAGATACAGCTCAAATCAAAGTCCTTCGTGAATCCAAAATCTTGAAATTTAACATCAAATTTGACACTCACAAAAAGCTAATCCCTGCACACAACAAGGGTAGACCTCCTTCATACTACATCATTGGAGGATTGGTTTTTACAACAGTTTCTGTTCCTTATCTTCGATCTGAGGTGCATACAATTTAAAATCTTTATAAATATACATGATTATATCTCTATTTTACTTAAAGTAACCTTGATGAATGTATGAATCATATATCATATATGTTGGTAGTATGGAAAGGACTATGGGTATGATGCTCCTGTTAAGCTGTTGGATAAACTTCTTCACGAGTTGCCAAAGTCACAAGATGAACAGATTGTAGTTGTCTCACAGGTTCCAAACTTTTTTTTCTCCCTTGAAACTTTTTTTATTCTGTGTAATGAAATATAGTAGTAGAATGGTTTTGTTTTGTGTGAAGGTGCTTGTGGCTGATATCAACATAGGATATGAAGAGATTGTGAACACTCAGGTTCTTGCATTCAATGGTAAGGAAGTGAAGAATCTGAAAAGCTTGGCGAATATGGTGGAGAGCTGTAGGGATGATTATCTGAAATTTGAATTGGAATATCAACAGGTAGGCTTCACTTCACATACTACATCTATCTCCCTATTTGTAAAATGTAGTTTTGTTTTTTTGATGTGAATGGAAGGAATGTGTGGTTGCAGATTGTGGTACTGGAGACAAAGACAGCAAAAGCAGCAACTGTGGACATTCTGTTGACTCATTGTATACCTAGTGCCATGTCAGATGATCTCAAGACATAAACATAAACATTATATGGTCAATGGTCAATGGTGTTTTTGCCTTACCTTAATTGGTTGTGGGTTTGGGACATGTGGATTGGATTGGATTTAGTCAATTTTACGATAGTCCTTAGGTAAGGATACTTAGGGGGATTGGGATTGGGATATATATACACTACACATTTTGATTCATTATTACCCTCCCTTATTCCATTCTGTTGGATTATATTTGAAAAATTGGATTATTAGGTATTGGTTTAAGAAGTAGTGATTATATACATATATATATATATATATATATATATATATATATATATATATATATATATATATATATGTTGCCTTTCAACTCAACAGAGGTGGATTGGGATTGTATTTCATTTGTTAGATTGGTAATGGTGGAATTATAAAAATCTTTAAAAGTGGGACTAGGGTGTAATTTCTGTTATGTTTTGATAGGTGGATTTGATTTGGGGATGAATTTTTGTATAATACTTATATGTCCAAGTACGTTACTACTAATTGATTGCATCTAAATTGTAAGTGTTGCACAATGTTTGTGTGTACTGAAATAAGATAAGATAAATATATCCAAACTTAATTTGTACAATTTATACTAAAAAAGGATTTAATTTTATCCGGAAAACAATGAAACTCATTATTGAAACCAACCAATGGTTACAGAGAAAGTTGTGAAAGGTATATATTTGCTTGAGTCGACATGATTAGTAGTAAGAATCAGCAGCAAGCAATTGAGTGGGCAATTAGAGAATGCATGCCAAAAAAGGGAAAGCTGCAAAGATAAGAGACCCACATATAAAGTCTTAAAGCCTTGTCTACCACTTAACCAACTTTCCTCTTCTAGGGTTCTTCTCTGCTGCCATTATTGGGAACCAAAACCAAAACCAAAACCACGACCTTTCAAACTCTTTATCTCAAACGTCTCCATCATCCTTTAATTCTTTTTCTCATTTTAATTATATGCTTCTTGTTGGCTTCTTCTACTTTAAAATCCACAACTGTAATCCCATCTCCTCACAATGGCTAGATCGCTTCTTACCCAAGAAAATGGCATCTGGGCCGATCAATTACCCGCACCATCGGAGATCACAGTCAGTCCGGCTCTTCTTTGGTTGATAGTATCCGTAGCTGCCATCTTCTTCATATCTGGAATTCTTCATATTCTTCTTAGATTCTTAAAAAAGAAACCTTCGTATAATAATCCATCAGTACTCATCACTCAGTCCAACAGATATAATACCCAACAGTCTCTCGGAAGACAGCTTCAACAACTTTTCCGGCTACAAGATTCCGGCTTAGACCAGTCCTTCATCGATAATCTCCCTGTCTTCAGCTACAAGGAGATTATAACAATCGGGTCGCAAAAATACCCATTTGATTGTGCTGTGTGTTTATGCGAATTCTCACCTGATGACAAACTTCGGTTGATTCCAATTTGCAGCCATGCTTTTCACACTCATTGCATCGACACGTGGCTTCTGTCAAACTCCACGTGCCCTCTTTGCAGGGTCAATTTGGGGATACAAGTAGAACACCACCGATTATGTAATAATAATCACAATGTCCGATCAAGGGAAGAAAATGTCATTGGTGTCCCTATCCCTACTATGAATAATAACATACAACGGGTACTTTCCGTGAGGCTTGGAAAGCTCGAGAGCTTTAATGGGGAAGAAAGATCCAGTGGAGTGGAGGGGAGTAGTCGCAGGTGTAATTTGGATGAAAGGAGGTGTTTCTCAATGGGTTCATTTCGGTATGTGGTTAATAATATGGATCTGGAAGTGTCATTAAGGTCGAATGTAAAAAAAGATGATGTAATAGGTTGTGGAAAAAGTCAAGAAGATGGTGATTATATGGATGAGAGGAAGATTAAATATGATCAGAGTTTTTCTGTTTCCAAGGTTTGGTTGTTTAATTCAAAGAAACCCAAAATTTCAGTTTCTTCATCGGAGACTCAAATGGGAGGAGTTTCTTCTGTAGTTCCTTTCGCACTATAGTTCCTGTTCTATATGATAAGCATAATATTTCCCAAACTGTTAATTAGTAGTTTTTAATTTATTCTGAAATATTCAATAAATAGTTATTTATTCAAGTAAATTAGTGATGCTATAAATGTAGGTTAGTTGGGTTGTTTTCTAAGTTTTATCGAACTATAGTTTTGTTTTGTTTCTACAGTAGTTCCTATTGCACTATAGTTGCTGGTCACCATGTTTTTTTTTTTTTTTTTGAAAGCTAACATTTTTGTCCGGAAAGGTCCTTCTGGACCCGAAAACCTGTATAAGCCCAATATTGTAGCCCAATTGTATATATATATATATATATATATATATATATATATATATATATATATATATATATATATATATATATATATATATATATATATATGAGTCCTACACATAAAAAATCCAGAATACCCGTTCCGAAATTAGCAGATCTGAAGCACGATCTACCCATATTTCGGACTTAAATTTTGAGCATGGATTCGTCAAACTAAGTAAGTTCTACATTTTTAAGTTACTTTTGCATTTGATTTTCTGAAACGATTTACGTATTCCGGAATGATCCGGAACACGAAGAACAAGTCAGGAATATCCATATTATCCTTTTGTATATCTTTTTCTTGTTGTATGTGTATGAATGTTATGTAAGTACTTTGTATTATGTTTCTGATCGATTGTTTTTGTCCGGAACAAGGTATTGTAGGGGTTCCGGAATGATAATATAGGTCTGGAACACGATAAACGTGGCTCGAAACCTGATGATCTATTCTGAATGATGATCCAGAATAACTACAATAGGGATGATAATTCTCGACACGACTCGCGACACGACACGAAATAAATGGGTTTGGGTTGAGTTTTTCAACCCGCCAACCTGCCAACCCGTTTATTAAACGGGTTATATATGAGTTTCTCAAAAAATAAACAGCTTGATCCGCCAACCCGTTTATATATTTAATTAAAAAGATATATATTTTTTTATTTTTAAGTGTATTTATATATCAAATATTAATATTTAATAAGTATTATCTATGTTTGTATTAACTTCTTATTTGAACATGTTTCTACGAATGTTTTTGATTTTCATTTGGATCTTTAAGACTTAAGTAGTTAACTGTTTAAAATTTGGATATATTTGCATCAACCATCAAAAATTTATTTATGTTTAATTGTCAATTTTATTTATGGAATCTGACCCGCGAACCTAAATCTGACCCACGAACCCGCCAACCTGTGATCCCGTATAAATAAACGGGTTGGTGGGTCATATATGGGTTTATGTTCCAAACTCGCCAACCCGTGACCTGTATATTTAAATGGGTCATGTTTGGGTTGGCATATTTTGACCCGCCAACACACCAACCCGCGACACGCCAACCCGAACACGACACGATTGCCAGGCCTAAACTACAATATATACTTTTTTTTTTCTAAGTATTGTTTAATAACCCTTATTATTGCAAATATGAGTTAGCCTGTATGTTGTTAAAAAAAGTGGGTTTTACAGACGACGAAGTTGTATTCCATTTATAGGAGCTTTCAGAATTGCATCCGATAAATGTAAAATCGAAAAACAATAATTTTATAATTATAATTTATTTTTACAATAATGTATTAAAATATTCTTAGAATTTTATTTTTGCAGATAAAAAACGACGATGTTGAGTTTCAAAATAAGATAAAAAAACTAAACCAGCAAAGTCATCCAAAAGAAATCAGAAAGAGTGTTAAAACTTAAACTGAAAGCAGATATGACTCCAAAAGATGATACCGGAGTAAGTGCTGACAAACATGTTATGATAAACTAGTTGCAGGTTTATTTATTTTTTATTTATTTATTTTGAATATGTTTCAGGAACTGTTTTTTATTATTATTAAATACCTTTAAAGACATTTGTTTTTAAAATAATATATTAATATAATTTAGGTATATTCTATTTTCAGTCTCCAATATCTAATGACTTGAACGATGATGATGAGTTGCTTATAGAGTGTAACATTCCGAGACCAGGTATATCCCAATAGCCCTTACTTTATAGTACTTGTCAAGTTTGGCCCTTTATTTAAGAAAAGGTGGTAGCTGAGTACGCGGGGCGTACGCATGTGTACGCTCAACGTACTCATGTGCGTGTTTTGCATACGGAAGCCACCTAGTACGCTGGGAGTACCAAAGGGTACGTTGGACGTACTAGGCTCAGAGTGAAAACCCTAATTGTGGGGTGTGTCCCTATTTAAGGAACATGATGGCCTCATTTTTGGCCACCATTTCCAGTCATCAACTCCCCTTAAAACCCTAATTTCCGTTTTCTTAGCTTGAGTGGCCATTTGAAGATTTTGAGTGTTCTTTGTGGGATTCTTTGAGTGAAGAAGGAGTTTTGAAGAGAATAGAGTTGGAGTCCAAGCTTTGGATATGAGTTTCCCTGTAGTTGGTGCATTATTTGGAGGTATCAAGCTTAAAGCATTCTTATTGTTTTGATTTGTGCATATTGTGGTTCATTTTAGGGTTTATGTCCCAAAGTTTGAAGCTTTATGAGCTTTTTGAACTCCAAAGCCTAATATCTGTCCCTTTAAGTGTCCCTAGTAGAGTGGACTCATAAAAATAGGATCTTGGACGTCAAGATCTCCCCATGCATGATATATGAGAACTTTTGTGAGTAAGGAGTGAGAGTTTATGGGTTTTAGACTTTCTCAGCCATGCAAAGGCTTAAAGTCACAAACTTTATGGAGTATTAGCCTTTAGTGAGTCCAAATATGAGATTATAGCAATGGTCTTAACGAATTAAGACCAAAAGAGTGGGAAAAGTGAGTATGGGGCGTACGCTGAGCATACTCCCAGATACGCGCAATGTAGCGACGAAGTTTCCCGATGCATGCATGGCGAAGTAGTACGCCCATCGTAAAGGGCTGTACGCCCAACGTACGTGTTTGTTGTTGACTTTTGTTGAATTTTAGGGTTTGGTCAAATTGTGGACTTTAGAGGCCATGGAAGGGTAAAATGGTTTTTTATCCTTCTGAGAATTAGTAGTGGGTTTAGCCTAACATCTTTGGGGTTCATTTATTAATTAGAGTTAATTACAATATATGTTAGGCGGAGGCTAGACCTGTGGTTTGAGTACGACACATACTTACTTTACTTACGAGGTGAGTCTTCTCACTATACTTACCTAAGTGGTAATATTGTGCGACCGGAGGGTCTTATGTGCTTATATTGAGTATGTGATATCATGTATTTGTCTCTGTGATTTATGTTGTATATTATCTTGTGCTTTATTGGTTAGTACCGGAGGGTCCAACCCAAGTTGTGAGACCGGTGGGTCTTCACTAAGACACATGATCAGAGGGTCCTTATCGAGATATAGCCATGAGAGGCTAATTATTGTGTGTGGTATTTTGAGGAACTCACTAAGCTTCATGCTTATCGTGTTGTGTGATATGTGTTTTAGGTACTTCTCAGGATCGTGGGAAGGCGCCGACTTGATTGTACACATCTGTTCGAGATTATGTTGAGGATTCTGGGATATTATCAGTTGTGTTGATATGTGTTTTTGATATTTGATACATTTTGGTTTTTGAGAAAATGTGATATTGAGTTTTATGTGATTTAA